CGCTGAGAGGCAGGGGACCTCGTATGTTTAAAAGGTCTATGTTCTTCGTCATCGGATATTTTCATCATATTTTAAGAGAATAAACTTACTTTTATTCTTTTGCCGGTGTCAATAACGATATAGAGTTTTTTGTCCTCACAGATTCGACCATTCGAATCTGAAAAGGGGCAACCAAAGAAAAATGAATACTCAAAAAAATCAAAAGAATAAAACCGGAGCCCGAAAGAACGGGTCCGGTTTTCACCGTTTTTGGGGAAGCACAAGCTTTGCTTTTTCTTCTTTTAGGAAAGCACGAGTTATGTTTCTCGTGGAAGCACGCATGTACCTTTTGCCTTTTGAGTAGAAGTACTCCCTCCATCCGGAAATACTTGTCATCAAAATGGATAAAAGGGAATGTATCTAGATGTATTTTAGTTCTAGATACATCTCTTTTTATCCATTTTGATGACAAGTATTTTCGGATAGAGGAGTATATATTTGCTTCTTGTGGAATTACGAAAGAACAGTCTATGCTTCCACAAGAAAGAAAGTCATGGTTCTCGAAGCACAGATTTTTTTCGAGAAGTGCACATGTGCTTCGCAAAAAAAAAATCTCTTCAAAACCTAGGAAAAACCATGCAAAAATCAAAAAGCTGACAAAACTGAAAATTGAACATCTAAAACCCGAAAACGCATAAAAAACAAAATTTAGAGGACACGCCAAACACGACACATGTCAGTGGCTGAACGCACCACTTGGCACTCCATAAAGTGACACTTGTGGGTCTCTCGCAAGCAAGAGGTAACCATTGGTTGGTCTCATACAACGAAGAATGCTACATACAAAAAAGAGTATTCCCCACTAAATGCATCTATCCCAATATCCAATCATGCATGAAAAAGATCACCTCAATATGATAACTTACATGAGAAAAGATCGACCAGAACATGTAATCATGCATGTGAAAACTATTACCCTACTTATATTCCGTAAATATCATAATCAAATATTCACATTCCAACATCATCAAAATACAATCACCGCAACAAAGTGCGGGGTATCATCTAGTATCTAATAATGGGTATACGTTTACATCGTATCATTAACTACTCTAGTAGTGACAAATGGTTCAACACATATACATCATTTTATCACATCTAGATGACTCGTTGCCTTGGCGCAAAGACCAACTACAACCAGAAAGTTAAGCGAGATATGAGCATCATGTTTCATAATTTATTTATTTATGAATTCCCAAAAAATCCAATCAAAAGGACACATAAACTATTTGAGTTTTTTTCGGAAATATCTGCAAAAACTATGCCAATGACTATAGTAATGTTGTGTTGTTTTACATCCATCCTTTGTTGGGATAGCCCGTTAAGAAACATCACATGACCGCATGTTGACCAAGGTAACACCAAACCAGACGAACTGAGCAACAAGACTTCAACTCTAACAAACCGAGAACCATCCTCCTTAACCAGCCACCGACAACCCACCCAAAGTGGTCGAAACCCAGAACCGGAAAGGATCTACCCTCCGCCGACCTAACAATAGAGGAGGATAGGTGCCTGGCGTAATCCAACCCGGTGCACACTAACAGATGAATAAGTCGCGGAGCTAGCCACTAGGGGGTCCCTGACGCGTGTGCCGAGGGCACACCCGAGGCCACCTCATCTACCACCAGCTGCCCTCGCTTTGTGTGTGCCGCGCTGTGCATTGGTAATGGGCCCCGTGTACGTTCCATAGGGTAGAGGCATCGGGTTTGCATGCAATGGGTGTGCCCTGGTCAGCATGTGGGTTGTTTGGCACACGTGCGTGGGCATGTCCATGCAACCGAGCACCCCATAAGTGGTTAGCTTGGGCCTGATCTGTTCAAAACTTGCAGCAACCACATGCCTAGACGACAAGGACCGAGCGAACCGGCTGTTTTCTAGAGGCACCTGTGCGTTGGGTCGGCCGACACCACATGTCGCCCACTAAACCCAAATAGAGGTAGGCCCTCACAATCACAGAAAATGTTTGTCAGGTCAAACCACATTCTTGATGCACGAGATGTTGTCTTGAAGCGGAGCATCCTATGATCATCCCCATGGACCTAACTGAAGGAAATATGCCCTAGAGGCAATAATAAATTTATTATTTATTTCCTCATATCATGATAAATGTTTATTATTCATGCTAGAATTGTATTAACCGGAAATATGATACATGTGTGAATACATAGACAAACATATAGTCACTAGTATGCCTCTACTTGACTAGCTCATTAATCAAAGATGGTTATGTTTCCTAACCATAGACATGTGTTGTCATTTGATTAATGGGATCACATCATTAGGAGAATGATGTGATTGACATGACCCATTCCGTTAGCCTAGCACTTGATCGTTTAGTATATTGCTATTGCTTTCTTCATGACTTATACATGTTCCTATAACTATGAGATTATGCAACTCCCGTTTACCGGAGGAACACTTTGGGTACTACCAAACGTCACAAGGTAACTGGGTGATTATAAAGGAGTACTACAGGTGTCTCCGAAGGTACATGTTGAGTTGGCGTATTTCGAGATTAGGTTTTATCACTCCGATTGTCGGAGAGGTATCTCTGGGCCCTCTCGGTAATGCACATCACTATAAGCCTTGCAAGCAATGTGACCAATGAGTTGGTTACCGGATGATGCATTACGTAACGAGTAAAGAGACTTGCCAGTAACGAGATTGAACTAGGTATTGGATACCGACGATCAAATCTCGGGCAAGTAACATACCGATGACAAAGGGAACAATGTATGTTGTTATGCGGTTTGACCAATAAAGATCTTCGTAGAATATGTAGGAACCAATATGGGCAAACAGGTTCCGCTATTGGTTATTGACTGAGAATAGTTCTAGGTCATGTCTACATAGTTCTCGAACCCGTAGGGTCCGCACGCTTAACCTTACGATGACAGTTTTATTATGAGTTTATAAGTTTTGATGTACCGAAGTTTGTTCGGAGTCCCGGATGTGATCACGGACATGACGAGGAGTCTCGAAATGGTCGAGACATAAAGATTGATATATTGGACGACTATATTCGGACACCGGAAGTGTTCCGGACGTTGTCGGAGAAAACCGGAGTGCCGGAGGGTTACCGGAACCCCCCGGGGAGAGATAATGGGCCACATGGGCCTTGGTGGAAAGAGAGAGGGGCGGCCAGGGTGGGCCGCGC